TTTTGTAAATAAATTTATATACTATTTAATCTTTATCTATATCTAACATAATTAAGATTCAAAAATAGCAATTAAAAAAATTTTATAAAAATAAACATGAAATTAAAACATTTAATATGAGACCTATATCACAATATTAAATAAAAATTAGCCTATATTATATTTTATTTGTATTATTCGAGTATAATAAATCTTTTGATTTTTAGTAAAATGTTTGTATTGATTTAGATTTTTTTAAAAATTGATTTTGTTAGTAAATAATATCAAAATGAACATATTTCAGGTAAAAATAAAGTTTAAGTACATTTGTGTAATATTCGTGATAAATTTCAATTGTTATGTTGAAAATTACTTTAAGAAGAAGATAAAAAAGCTTTTTTGAATACCTTTAAAAGATCATGATTGTTATTATACGTCTAATATGTTAGAAATTTTAATAAAAGTGCTAAAATTAATAAGAGTGTTTTTAAATTGACAATTTAAAAAATGTTATTTGTTTAACTTTTTTGAAAAGAATATTAAAAAGATCTTATTTGAATAAGTTATTACTAAAAATTCAATTAAAATAGATTTTAATTGAATTTCAAATAAATTATCAACATTGATTACAATAATATAATTTTACTTTTTTAAAGAAGTATATTTATTAATATTCGTGTTTTCTAATATTATTGGATGATATTCTAATTTTAAAAATAATCACATATATTTTTTAAATTTATCCGTTTTTAACTATTTTAAATAAATAAAATATATATAAAAATTCATTTTAGGTTTACTATTTGTTAACCATATTCTTTTCTAATTTCTTTACTTTATTAATTAAATAGTTCATTCTCTAATGGTTGTTATTATGTTTTATCTGTGTCTCCTAATAAATTATTTTGCTTAGTCATCAATTATTTAAAACTAAGAGTTAAGAAATATTTTGTTTTAATATTTTTTCACATAGTCATAAATTCAATTACGTAAACAAATACCTATTTATTAAAAAAAATATTATTCTACAGGATTTAAATCAATTAAGAGATTATTAAAACACTAAAAATGAAAATAATAGTCATAAAAGAACGGAAGCGAGCTAAAGAAAAATTGAAGGTATTAATAGAAAACACCATTTACACTACTATTTACTGTTTTTATTTTATTACTGTTGAAATCTTGGATCAAGTGCAAAAATTAAATTAAAAAACTTAAATAATATTTTTTAAAAAGTTTTTAAACCCATGATTCATTGGTTTGTGGTATAAAGAAACCTTAGTTAGTGGTCCTGTAGAAGACCTGATAGAATTTCTACGCATTAAAGGTGTACTCAAAAGGTATGTAAAGTGTTAAACATGTCTTCTAGACATGAAAACAAAACCATACATTAGAAATAGTGATGGTGTGGCGTTCAGGTGTTGTAATAGAAGTTATAATGACTTTTCTAAGTATGTTTCAATACACACCAAGTCACTACTATCAGGCTTAACTGTACCTCTGAGAGACTTTTTATTAGTGGCTTGTTAATGATTTAATAACCATACTCATGTACAGATAAGTATTGAGATGAATATTTAAAAAAAGTCAATTATTAAAATTATTGATTTACTTCGTAATCAATGTTTTAAATATGAGACAAAAAATCCAATTCGTCTTGGTGGTGATGG